CAACCAAGGACAAGGCGCGAGAGCGAGGCAGTGAAGATGACAAAGGGGGAACAAAGGGCGAGAAAGAAAAGGCAAGGGCATGGCGATCACGGGAACGTAGCATGCGGCTGTGGGAACGTATCTACAGTGTCCAAACTGGGATGAGCTAGGAAAGGAAACGGTCCGGAAATGGAAGGTGGGCGTCAAAGGGAAGGGAATGGGCGGCAAAAAGGGGCGTCTGTCCAACGTCCGTGACACGGTGCGCCCTATTGTTGTGTGGCATGATGTACGTGGGAGATGTGAGAAAAGAGATACCAGTAACCTCTATGGGCCCCAGGCCTTTTGAGAAAAAAATCAATGCTATTGACAGGCCGCAAGTTATGACATCAATGTCGAAACCGGGCACGATCTTCACCCTCAACCCTAACCCCATCTTATTCCCCTCAAGGCGACAGCGGAACGTGGGCGTACACGGCTGGAAGGGCAACTGCGAGAAGCTGCACGACTTGGTCGATATCGCCGATTGTACGGACGCGGTAGATGGTGCGTTGGTCACTAAGAGGGGACCATGGAGAGGCTTTGGGACTCCTCCGGGTAAAATCGCGATGAGGATTTGAATACGACGTACCGGGTTCGATATGTGAGTGCGGCATGCCGAAGTCTTCCCCGGAGAAGAGCATGTTGTTGTGCACCATCTCATTTGAAAGGAGGAACAAAGACTCTCCAGAGGGCAGTGTGAAGGTCGACTGTTCGAATATAGTCGTGAAGTGGAGGGCACTAGGGGGCGGTGGGGGGAGACCAATGGATGAACGTTACATTTTCCTGGAGCTCGGCACAGGTGGAATAGAGATTGTCACGGAGGGGACGAGGGGCGCGGTATGGCGGACTCTCCGCAAGTCGCGTGGCATATGAGCGAGAGGAGAGCCTTACCGACGGGAGAGACAGTCGAAGAGCTATGGCCGGCAAGGAGGTCGACGGCCATGATAGGGTCGAAGTGGACGTTCATGTAGATTGCTAGCTTAAGTCAGGTATCGTCTTGAACATCAACTCCTGCAATATGCTCACCCATGATGATAGTTGCAGAGCCTGGCTGTCCATGGGAGTTGTAGGGCGAAGAGGATTCGTCGTTCTGGGCATGCACCTAAGCCTGTCCCGCTATGGTCTGCAAGAGGAATTCGAGCGTCTTCATGGGATCAGAATTGAGCTGCGTGTGGGGAGTGCCCAAGAAAGGCGATGTGGTAGACGACGAGCTCGAGCTATCTGACGGTGGCCGGATAGAGATGGTGGCAGGTGTGGAAGTTATTACACGCTCGACGCACCAGCCATAGTAGGTGCGTCAAGCGCCTGCTTCACTCTCATCTCCGTTTCTCACCTCCACTTCAAATGCCTCAGCCCGTGAACACTCTAGTATGCCGGCCTTGCAACCAGACATTCAAGAATGACCGGGCTTTCAGCCTTCACATCAACAGATGCCCCAAGGTGTTTGGCACGGCGCGGCTCGAATCTGTACGGGGAAAACGCCAAACCCAAGACCTGCTGGATCAGGCTGCGGCCAAGAAGCGCAAGACTGAGCAGATGGAGGCCGAACAGCAGCTCAATGCTGTAGACTTTGAAGAATGGAACGGAATTTAGGTGAGTTTGCTAAAGCAATACATGCGCATGGTCTCTGGGCCCAAGGCGCGCGAGGATCCATCGCCTATACTGATGATGTTCTTGTAGGCAACAGAGAGGAGTGTGCGTTCCTCGACAGCGAGCCCGACACCCCCACCCCGCGAACAGACGCCACCGCCTGCAACTGTGATTGAGGGCCCCCGAATCTGCCGTGCTCCCAAGAGGCTCTCTGATTTCGTGCCCACATCGCTCACAGGGCTTCCCGTTCACCTTCGCCCTCCAAATCCACCCCCAAGTCCTCCTGCCATTGTTGAACGCTCGCTCAGTCCTCCTCAGGATGCTCCCCCGCAGGTCCCGCATGTTGTGCACAGGACCAAACCCAACGCATTTGGTCTCTATCGTGAATACACTTACCAACCGCAACACGATCCGGAGGATGACAAAACATTCCGAGACCTCGTAGACTCGGTTGCCTTCCCTCTTGTTGCCCCCAGGACTACAAACAAGGCCCCGTCTGCCTTCAGACAGCTGAACAACAACTCTGCGACAACCTTGTCCGGCTCGGAATCCCAATCCTCATCGACTGGTCCCTCTCGCTCAAACACACCCCTCCCAGACTCCACTTACGCCCCCCTCCGCAACGCATCCGAATATCATCTGCTTCGTTGGCAATCATCCACATCCAGCGCGACATCCAATCAAGCCGTGAACTCACTCGTGCGCGACGTTATTCATGCCCCAGGCTTTTCGCCCTCCCATTTCCCTCCCAACTTCACCATCCAAGGGGCGCGCACACGATTGGAGAAGGGTCAGGTCGGCGACTCGGAAGGATCCCCTTTGCGGCGGGAAGACGGGTGGATCAAGACTCGCGTCAAGATCCATGTCCCCAAAGAAGGTCGCAAATTCAAGTCTGAGGAGGACGCACCAGTTTACGAGGTCGAAGGTGTCTACATTCATGACTTTATGGCTGTACTCGAGTGCATGTACGGCGGGCCCGCCGCCGCGGATTACCACTGGGTGCCCCACAAGCTCTTCTGGCAGCCCCGCATTGAGGCCCGCATGCGCGATCCCTCTACAGACAAACGTGCATCAACCGAAGCAGCCCCATCCCGGCGCACTGTGTACCATACTGTCATGGACGTTGGACAGACGCCCCTTTTTGCCGCCCATTCCCCTCCCCTTGACGCCCACCTTCCATTTTCGGACCATTTCCTTTCTTAGCCCATCCCAGTTTGGACACTGCAGATACGTTCCCACAGCTGCATGCTACGTTCCCGTGATCGCCATGCCTTTACCTTTTCTTCTCGCCCTTTGTTCTCCCTTTGTCATCTTCACTGCCTCGCTCTCGCGCCTTGTCTTTGGTTGCTAAGCAGCCCTTCTAGTATATAAGGACCCCCTTAGGCGCTCCCTAGTCCCCATCTCGACCTCTTGGTCATTGGGACTAGGTGAGTGACCATAGCATTGTATCTCCCTCCGATTGCTAATGTATAACTTGGTCATTGGGACTAGTCTGTCGCTCTCTGCGTGAAGACTAGCTTTCGTAGGTCTCGTGCCTTCGTGCC